CTTGAGTAATCTTATAACCGTGGTTTTGAACTCTATATCCAGTAGTTTGCTTTCCTCCATTTCTGTCATTTGTGACCTGTTTCTTTGTCTCCGCATTTTGGCAGCTTTCCTGTGTTGGTAGAGTGATTTGTGTGCTAGGTGTCCTATAGGGCCCAGTGGCTTAGCCTCCCCAATTACCTGAGGTGGACACTCTTGGTGCACCCCTTTGTGGGCTGTGTGCACAGTCTTGTTGTAGTTAAGCCTTGACTGCTGTTGGTATCACTGGGTGGAATTGACCTCCAGGCCAATTGGCTATAAGGACCAGTTGTGTCTACAATGGGAGAACTTCTGTGCTGGAGACACCCTTATGGGGCAGGACTTGCTTCAGTGGGGTTTTGGCGCACACTGAGTCTGGCCAGGTTTTTAGGTAGAGAAAGGCCAGGCCATTCATATGCAAAAGCCTCTGTGCACAGCTTGGGTGGGGTTGTAAATTGGATGGGGCAGGGTCTCAGGGAATCAGCAGGGAGGAGCAAACCGCAATGGCTGCCAGTCTGCTCTGCCTCGGAGAGGTCCCAGGGTCTGTGTCCCGCGGCCCCATGCAGGAACAATGCCCACTGCAAGCACCTCTTCGAGAAAGCCACCCTCACGTTCCAGCCCGATGCCAGACAGTCCAGTTTCTCTCTGTATGAGTCTGGGTCCCCAAATTCTCACCCGGAACTGGAGTTCAGAGCAGTCAGGAGCTTGTTTCTCCCTCCTGACTGAAAAAGACAACAGTGTACCCAGCTGTCAGCCCCTTTGGCGCGCGCCTCCGTACCTCCGCACTTCCACACCTCTGCACCTCCTACCGGACTCAATGCACTTTTCTCTTTCCTTCTAGTTGTAGAATTTCCACTCAGCCAGCCTTCCTGTGGTTCTAGATAGTATTTGTTTTGTCTTTTAGTTGTAGTTTTAATGTAGTTGTGCACGGCAGCAAATTCAGATGTTTACCTATGCCGCCGCTCCTACATACCTGGGCCTGTATGTAGGAGCATGCTCACCTGAACAAGATCTGACAGCAGGCAGACAGGCCCAGCTAAGAACCTCAGCCTCAGCACCCAACAGGAGACAGAGGGACTAACACACCACATTGCAGACTCACTGAACTGATCCCACACCCGCTGTTCCTAGGCACTTCCCACTGGGCCTGAAGAAAGGGAAGCCTGAAGCCAGGACATCCTCAGCAAGTCCAGTAAAGCACAGGGCTCTGCCTTAACTGTGCTCTGTTCTGTAGATAAGAGTCTCTTGGGACCTTGCCACAGAATGCCAGGAAGTGGGGATATTCCCCATGGCCCAGAAGCTATTCCCAGAAGATGCAGTGGTGCCTAGAGCAAGAGAAACAGAAATGGCAAGTTCCGTGTGCGGTGTGTCCAAAAGCAAGAGCCCCTAGGAATCCAAATGTGCCAGAAGTGGGGGTGCCATGTGGGGGCTGGAGCCCAGCTTCAGAAAGTAGGAAAGAGAAGTGGCCAAAGTAAGGGTCATAGACCCCTGTGGGGGTCAGTGGTCCAAATGTCATTCCAGTGCCCTGAGATAAACCCAGTTATTACATCTTTTCTCAATATCAGCCTCCATGCCAATCACATGGATAAAACATGAATTCGAAAAGACCATTAAACCAAATCTTTCAGCTTCCTAAGTGGACCTAGAGAAGTACGACTATCTCAAGATGAACAATTTCTCAGAAAGTAGAACAATCTACTTCATTATTAGCTGTTTAATTAAGGATGCAACTAATCAGGTCTAGAAAATTCAGCAACAGTTTAATCAAAGGGGTTGTGGAAGACATTAGTTAAGAAACATGGTTCTATTATAAAATCTGTGTTTAAAATTCCATTAAAACTCAAACTGCCAGTCTGGGAAACTAAGTATTGTAGATGATTAGTAACTGTGTCATAATATAGGTAACTATAAACTGCACTCTCTATCAAGTGTCACCACCTTGGACTGTTCCTTATTTGCTCAAAGATAATTATGAATAGAGTTAAGAACTCTCTGAAAAAGCACCCAACTCCGTAAGAATCAAGGGGCATGTTCACTGGTCCTTTTCTCTCTCTGAAGCTATAAGTTTTCAGAGTTGGTATAAAGGATGAACTTAGTGTGCTTCATAAATTATTAATCCCCAAAAGTACTTTAGGATGAAAGAATAATGCCTTATCCACCAGAGAACTTTACTATTGAATGTGTTTGCATGTCTATCATCTCATTTTGTTTCCACAATGGCCTCAAGAGAAATACATACCAGGTATTCATATCCCCCTATCTTCAAAGCAGAAACAGAAACGTAGACCAAGGGATGAGCTCCTGGCCCGGGCTACCTCTGGGCAAAGAGGGGTACCCTGTGAGTCTTTTACATCACAGCAACTTGGATTCAAAATGGTTTTTCCTTACCTTTTTTTTTCTTTTAAGAAAGAGGGAGAGAGAAGAAAGGAAGGGGAGGAGAGGGCGAGGGAGAGAAAGAAACATCAATTTGTTGTTCCACTTACTTATACATTCATTGGCTAATTCTTGTATGTGCCCTGACTGGGGATGGAACCGCCAATCTTGGAGTATCAGGACAATGCTCAAACCAACTGAGCTACCAGGCCAGGGCCTCAAAATGGTTTTCTTCATCAATTTTATTTATCATATTTATATACCAACTTATTCCAAAAACAATATGGGTGTCTTATTTTTTATTCTTATAAGAAATCAGAAACGCCTTGCTTTTCTAATGTGAATATGATTACAAACAAGAAAGATGAAATACCATGACATGCCCTTGTAATATCTGCCTGGGAAACTGCCACAAATTTACAGCTTCGTTTCCAAGTGGTAGAGAAATAGGAAATGGGGTCAAATAATTCCCAAAGAAAGAGTTTAGATCAGAAACTGTCCTCTTTTAAATTCTCTATCATTAAATACACATTTCAACAGATATGAATTAAGATAGAATGGATCCTTTGAAGAGAAGTGATTCCATAATAAAACCATTGTCAGGCAGGTGATAATACGGAAGCCCTATTTTACGCATTGCTAAGTGTTTCCAGTGATCACTTGAAGGCAAACCACTCTCATACCCGTGCTCAGCTCAGGGAGAGAGAAAAGGGGGTGCTAGCAGTCTGGGTGGCTGTTATCCACTTTACTTAACTAAGCATCACAAAAAGAGATGAGCATAGGCAAAAACTGGCCAAATTCAGAGAGACAGGACAGTATCTAGAGACAGTCCAGAAACAAGGGGTTCGCCTATTGAGAAAAGCCACCCCCTCTACACCACAGGAATACAATATATGATTGAGAGTATTCTGAGAAGCAAAGGCCCACAAAGACTCCTTGATTATAGGAAGGGTGCAGCTGTCCACACAGATTAGATTACTGGGTTTCTCTCCCAACCACAGCCATGCCTTCAGATATCCTGGATAGAAAGGCAGAGATCATCATTCTAAGTCTCAAATTGTTCCTCAAAATAATTCTGCAAATCAAGTCTAGCACACACAAAGAAATAACACTCCATGAGCAAGAAATAGTAGAAGTCACAGAAAACAAAAACAGATCCACAAAGACATAAGAAGTTAGAATTATGCAATATAGACTATTAAAAAAACCCACTTGTAATAACACAAAAACATCTCCATTTTTTAAGAATGGGCAAAAGACTTGAATAGACATTTCTCTAAAGATACACCAGTGGCCAATAAACACATAAAAAATGCTCAACATTACTAATAATAAGGGAAATGCTAATCAAAACCATATAAAAGATCACTTCATATACATTAGGAAATAAAAGTGTTGGCAAGATTGTGGAGAAATTAGAATCTGTATACATTATTGGTGGAAATGTAAAATGGTGCCACTGCAATGAAAAATGGTATGGTGGTTCCTCAAAAAAGTTAAACACATAATTACCATATGATCCAGCAATTCCACCTCTGATTATATATACAAAAAAGTGAAAGCAGAGACTCAAACAGGTATTTATACACCCATGTACACAGCAGCATTATTCACAATAGCCAACAGATGTAAGCAACCCAGCTGTCCATTAACAGATGAATGGATAGACAAAATGTGTTCTAAACTACAATGGAATACTATTCAACCTTTAAAATAAAAAAGAAATTCTGACACACACCACAACATGGGAGAACCTTGAGAACATTATGCTAAATGAAACAAACCAGTCACAAAAGAACAAATACTGTATGATTCCACTTATGAGAGGCTCCTAGAGTAGTCATATTCATAGAGACAGAAAGTAAAATGGTGGGTGCCAGGGGGATGGAGGAGGAAATTGTTTAATGGAAACAGTTTTAATTTTGTAAGATAAAGCTCTGAAGATAAATGGTGGTGATCGTTTTGCACAATGATGTGAATATACTTTATACCGAATAACTAACTGTACATTTAAAGTGTACACTTAAAATGGTAAATTTTATGTTATATATGTTTTACCACAATAAAAAAACACACTATGATCTGTGGAAAAGAGTATGGCAGTTCCTCAAAAATCTACATATAAAATGACCATATGATCTTGCAATTCCACTTCTGGATATACCAAAATAATTGAAACAGTCTTGAATTTATACTTGTACATCCATATTCATAGCAGCATTATTCACAATGGCTAAAACATGGAAGCAACCCAGTGTCCACTGATGGGTGAATGGATAAACAAACTGTGGTATATCCATACAGTGGAATATTATTCAGAAATAAAATGGAAGGAATTTTGACATATGCTACAAGATGGATGAAACTTAGCGACACTATGCTAAGTGAAATAAGTTGGCCCACAAAGAACAAATATTGTACAATTCATTTATGTGAGGTACTTAGAGTAGTCAAAATCATTGAGAAAGAAAGTAAAATAAGTTTCCAGGGGCCAGGGAAAAGGGGTGGGGTGGGGAATTACTGTTTAATAAGCATAGAGTTTTAGTTTTATAAGATGAGAGAGCTATGGAGATGATGGTGGTAATGGTTGCACATTATAAATGTATATAATACCACTACACTGTACATTTTAAAATGGTTAAGATATTAAATGTATTTTATTGCAGTTAAAAAAAACAAAACACACTATATTTGCTATGGTCAAAAATATAAATGACAGTGTCACCCCAGTAGAGATTAGAAGCTATAAAAAGTAACATAATTTTGCCCTTCCCAGTGGCGCTCGCTCAATGGTTAGAGTGTCGGCCTGCGCACCAAAGGGTTGCTGGTTCTATTTCTGGGGCACGTGCAAGAGACAACCAATCGATGTGTCTCTCTCAAATCAATGTTTCTCCCCTCCCTCCTCCCCTCCCTCCCTTCCACTCTACCTAAAATCAATGAAAAACTATCCTCAAGTGAGGATTAACAAAAATATAATAAAGTAACATAGTTTTAAATTTTTAAAAATCTAAAACTGTAAAGTAGAAATGTCATGACGGGTTTCAAAGCAGATTAGATGGGACTGAAGGGAGAAGTGGTAAACTGGAAACAAGATCAGAAGAAAATATTCAAACTAAATTATGAAGAGACCAAAATCTGGGAAATATAAAAGAGAGGGTATGAGAATATATGGTTAGAGATCTAACACATTTAATTAGCATCCTGAAAGAAGAGAGAAGATGAGGTAGAAGCAATATATGAAGATAATGGCAGCAAATTTTCTAGGGTTATGAAAGATATCAGTTCACAGATACCTTACAACATACCTTAGAGATCAGTCAACATACCTTAGGGCAGTGGTTCTCAACCTTGGCTGCACATTAGAATCACTTGGGAATCTTTTTAAAATCCCGATTTCTGGGCCTCATCCGCCAGAAATTCTGTTTCTTTGTTATGGGGTGGAGCCACAACATTAGTAACAAAGAAACAGAATTTACGGAGGATGAGGCCCAGAAATCAGGATTTTAAAAAGATTCCCAGGTGATTCTAATGTGCAGCCAAGGTTGAGAACCACTGCCTTAGGGAGAGATGCATGAAACTTAGTGAAACT